GCCGATGGCCAAACACAAGCATTTGGACATTCCACAGACATCTTCATCAAGTTCCTTCTCTGTTGATGAAATCGCTGTCTTCTTAGACACCCAGAGGACGCACTTCAGGATAATCTTGGATGTCCTTGTTCAGCATGACTGCTAATGAGTCAATCACATGGACCCTTACCTCATGTGGTTTCTCTTCAAGCCGTCTCTGATGCCACTGTTCTTAACTTTTCACCATCTCCACTGCTTCTACCGCTATTTCTCTTCTAGCCCTGATCATATTTCCTCTAATCTACCTCGCCCAGTTAATTCTTCTGAGGCTTCACCCTGCCACGCCCCAGCTCAGAAACCTGCAGTGGCTTTTCACTGTTGGTGATATAAATTCTAAATTCTTACTGAAGGGCATCTACGAAATGGCTCTAGCTTGCTTTGTTCCAACCTTGCATCCCCGCCCCCGCCCTCCATCAACTATGTGCCTTGCAGCCTACTCTCCAGCTAGACTCAAACAAATGTTTGGTTTTCCATGTTTGCTTCCTTAAATTTATTGCTTAGGCCAATCCTTCCACCTGGACGCACTTTCTTTTTGTCTTTCAGGTTCAAATCTTGCCCATCTTTCAAAGGTCAACTCAAATACTGTTTTCTCTGTGAGGTTTTTCTTAACGTGTTCCACCAGAAATAATTCCAGTCTTGTCACATGAGTATGGCCCTTTATCTGTAACCCTCTTAAGGCAATTAATGTTTTCTCTCTCTCTCTTTTTTCGGGGGGTGGGTGAGGGGGATGGAGGGCATATATGTCTTGACTTTATTTTTGAAGGCAAGGTCTATTTCTAAGCTTTTTTTTATATTACTCATTTTGCTTGGCACATGAGTGTTCTGTATTTAGGTGTTTTGTTAATATTTACTGAATGCATGAATGGATCTGACAAAAAGAGCAATTCAATGCATGACTGATATCACTGTCAGGATCTATGAAATTTCTGGATAGTTCTTTCTTAATCATCTTTTTAGACAGAAATTCTTTAGTACCCTTAGTATCCTCAGCCGGATGGTAAAGAATTATAGCTAAAGTTTGAGAAAAGTTAATGTTGAGTGGTGTCAATGTCTGTGGTGGAAGGAAAATATTTTGTTCCCGAGATATGCTCTAAAGAACTACGTTATCCTTATTTGGAGAAAAATCTGCAGTTCTCTGGAGCATCTCAGTATCTAGTCTGGTCATTCTTGGGATATTTGATATAGTCACTGTCTGCAGAGGCACATTTAGGATGTGCCTTTGAAGGTGGGTAGACATCAAGGTAAAAGGAAAAGGTGCTCAGTTGGAGAATGGAATCCTGGATCTCTTGGAAATATCTTCATGTTTGGTGACTATAATATTTCTAGGTTTTCCCTTGACTCATAGATAGAACCAGATTAGGGTATTGGAAGCCATAACCAGGACACTGGATCTGTTTGGGTGGTGCCTTTCTGTCCTGCTTGTGAAATTCAATCCAGAGTGTGGAGTTTCCACAGCTGAGTCTTCTACCCTGCATGAGTCTCTTTGGCTTTTCCTGGCCTTTGAAGATAATTTCTTCTCTAACCACATGTAGATAGATGATCTACTTGCTAAGCAAAATGCAGTGGAACTCAAGGGTGGGATCAATGGAAAATGTCTTATGATGTTACATTTATTTGTGTTTCAATGTCAAGTTTAAACTTTATAATTTAAGCATGTGGGCAGTTGGTGTTCTTAGTTTCTTACCTGCTTAGTCATAGCTAAATTGCTCCTTTGGAATAAAAGAAGTCTACAGAATTGATCTCTTTACCAGATCCTATATCAGACAGATAATCAGCAAGAATTTTAATGTCCCTTGGTTTTCTCTCCATCCAAGAGAACATGTCCTTCCCAGCTGCTTCTCTCCATCCTTTCTTATCCACTTTCCTTCTTTCACTCAGGGAGAAGGTAAGATTAGTGAGAAGGGAGGACTGAATGATGGAGATGCATTTGCTAGGGCAGAGAAGCGCTGGTGGGAAAGAAAGTGTCTGTGATGTGCTAGCCAGTAGGTGGTTGTGAACCAAGGCAAATGCCACCTCCATCAAGAGCATGTCCCGGGGCAGGGGAGGTGTGACAAGATACCACCCTCCCCCCCATGCTATGGAGGCCGTCTGATTTTTTTCCCACTTGGCCCATGGGTGCCCATATCCCAAATGTGAGACCTTATCTTTACTTAAGCTCAAAGATTCAGGGTCCCAGTCATAGGTGCCCCTCTTCTGCTAGCCTGGATATCATGCTGTGCTTTCATCCTCAATGTCTTTATGTCCCTTCTTACCCAGTCTCTGACTTATTCTCACTGACACCTTCCTGCGTGGAATCGAAAGAGATTAATTTGGAATCATTTTCACTGAAAATCAGTGGATCCACTTGTGCTCACAATGTTTTCATTTCCTATTTTAGAAGAAATAGTTTTGGTATTTTTGTGTATCTACTCTAGCGACTTTTCCTTCATTCTTTATTCCTTTGGTCATGAGTTCTATGTGCTCTTCCTTTCTAATTTAGTCCCTTTTATTTCCTGTCCCTTTAACTTGTATCTGATGCCTTTGCCTGCTGTTCATTAGAAACCTGGAGGTGTGGGGTGGGAGAGGTGTCTTGATTTATAGAATAGAAAAATCAGATAGTCTCTTTTTAAAAGTGGGGCTCAGGTCAGAAATATCTTTTGTGCTATGATCAGGAATTTCAGATTTCTAAATTTACAAATTTTAGTTGGAGCCTGGGGTTTAGAATTAGGAATTCAAATTTAGAATTGATGACCTAATGACTCTGGATTCCAATTTATGGAGTATGTACATCGGGATTAAAACTTCTACAGTGATATTGAATGGCATATGTATATATATAATATTCTAACCTATGTAAAGAGTTAAAGCCAGCAGGATTGGGGATCATGTGCGTAGAGCACTTTCTCGTTTGTTATTTCTATGACAATGCATTTTTCCCCCCATTTAATTATCACTACATCCTTGTGAAGAAGTCATTACTGCGACCTCATCTTGTCGATAAAGGAACACAGGCCAGAAAGCTTAGGTGAATGCCCTAGGGTCACACAGGATGACTGAGGCAATCCTGGTTATTTGGCTTCAGATCTCAGCCGATACAAATAAATTCCAAAAGGAATTACCTTTTGGAGGGCTGGCCTCTTATAGTATACTCAGAATTTGTTCCTCTGGATCAAACTGTCAGTGAAAGTTTTTATCTGGAAGATTTGAGAAGCTTGTGTCACAATTTGAGGAAGAAACGTCCCAAGTTGTAGCAAACAGGTGACTGGTTCTTCCACCATGACAACACATCCGCTCACACTGTGCTGAGTGTTTAGCAGTTTTTGACCCAAAACAGCAAGACCTCTGTGCCTTACTTTCCCTATTCATCCAGTCTCACCCCAGTGACTTTTTTTTTTGTTTCCTCAGATGATAAAAGTCCTGAAAGGGTAACATTTTGCCGGAAGAGGTGAAACAAAAAATGACAGAAGCACTAAAAGACATCAAGATCGATGAGTTCAAAACCTGTTTTGAGCAGTGGAAAGAGCATCTCGATAGGTGTATTGCATCAAGTGGAGAGTACTTTGAAGGTGACTGAAGTTTAAACATTTAAGAATAAATACACAATTTTTTATAAATAAATTCTGGGTTTTTTTTTTTTTGGTCCTCCCTCATTCATACATATATATATGTATAGTTTCAATTTCAATTTTAATTTTTGAGTCAGTCTCACTCTGTCAACCCAGGCTGGAGTGCAATGGCATGATCCCAGCTTATCACAACCTTAACCTCCTGGGCTCAGACGATCTTTCCACCTCAGCTCCCGAATACTTGAGACTACAGGAACATGCCTGACTAATTTTTTTTTGTTGAGGCAAGGTCTTGCCATGTTGCCTAGGCTGTTCTCAAACCCCTGAGCTCAAGCAATCCTCCTGCCTTAGCCTCCCAAAGTGTTGGAATTACAGGCCATTGCACCCTGCTTATTTCCATATATTAATCTATATTCTAATTAGCAAATGTGACCAAGACCAAAAATTAACATATGCACATTCAGGACCTTTCCTTTTCTCCTGCCTTCTAAAAGGAAGTGGTTTCTTAGCTATCCTGCTGCTCTTGTTCTGTGGCATCTGAATGAGAAGGGAGCACTGAATGACTAAGCTACATCTGCCAGGGCAGAAAGCACTCCAGAAAGGAGAGCAGAAAGGGATGACAGCAAATGCAGGCTGAGATCTGCGAGCTGGTTTGTGGGTATTTGGGGGAGTGTGAGACATGAAATGGGTAGCATGTCTGTATTCTGTGGGAGAGTAGGAAGGGAATGGGGAAAGAGGGTCTTGAGAAGCTTTATTTTTTATGAATGAAGTCTTTTTAAGAAATTGCAGCCACGATTTCAGTTGCTTTTCAGATTTCTTTGAGAGCTAACTTGTTCTTTCTTTGATTCAGTGCCTCCCTGCAGCTGGTCCAGTTTTTATGTGTGTTGTATGGGCTCATTGACATCCAGGATGTGAATCCAGGTTTTCACTCTCTCATGCAGTTAGGGAAAGAGCAGTCAACAACGTGTTGAGCCCAAATTTGACAATGCCGAAGGGGACTCTGAGGAACAAAGCAAAGGAAATCTTGCTCTACAGCCTCAGCTTTGTTGACTGGAGGCCATGGGCCTTAGCAGAGAGCCTCAGGTTTGCATTCTGAGGGTTCTCACTTTGAAAGTCTGTTTCTCCTTAAACCCAAGACATTCTTCTTGGTGCTAATCTGATCCTTCTCTAATTGCATCATGACCATGAGTATCCTTTTATTCACAGGAAGAGAAACAGCACAGCTCTAAAGAGAGAATCTTTTTGCAGTTTTCTCCCATTTCCTAGCTTTTGATGAGCATGGTTTGTGACTCGATTCCACTGGGGCAATAGTCTGGGCAGCAGTGCCAGCCATGGGTCATGAACTGGGCATGGAAATGTGCTGCCTTGGCTGAACTGCTGATCTCGTCTCAGGAGAGAAGTCACCAAGTCTCAGCCATGTCAGAGCTGGGAATTGTAGAATCTGGGGTCAAAGGTAGACCCTGGCATATGACTTGTCTGAACATCTGGGGACTATAAGTCGATTTGGTTGCAAATTGGCACTGTATCTGCAAGCTTCAAGGCTACTAGTTCAGGAGTAGGAAACTGATTATACATTAATCATTAATTTTATGCCAATGTTCAGAATGGACTAGTTGACAGAGCAAGAGCCTGTAGTTTGAGTAGGAGTAAAAGCAAATACTTTTCTGTCCCTCGAGCTACATCCTATGACAACATGAAGTATGCTTGCAAAACGATACACATTGTTCATTCCAAAATACTGGGCAGTGCTTGATCAATACCATCATTTGTAGGTATCTTTTCATAGCCTTTCCCCCTTTTGGTTGCCTACTTACTTGGGACTTTATTTGTCCCAAGATGACTACTTTAAAAGGAACTTGTCTTATTTGGATGAATAAACATTGGTATGTGAGGTTTTGAAAAGTCATCAACATTATTTTATGCTCTCCCCTTGCAGGTGCTCTTTTTCGTATTAAATAGGACTCTCAGTTGTAAGCACAGTTCAAAAGCCTAGTTGTTTTAGTCAGTTTGAGCTGCTATAACAAAATAACAGACTGGGTGTCTTATAAACAACAGAAATTTATTTTTCGAGGCTGAAAAGTCCAAGAGCAAGGCAATGTCAGATTCGGTGTCCAGTAGAGGGCTCATTTTATGGTTCACAGATGGTGCTTTTCATTTTGTCCTCACATGGTGGAAAGGGCGAGGAGGGTCTCTCTAGGGCCTCTCTTACAAGGGCACTACTTCTATTCATAAAGATTCCACCCCATAACTTAATCACTTCCCCTAAGGCCTTACCTCCTAACTATCCAGGTTGGAATTTCAACATATAACTTTTGGGGGAAATAAACACTTAGCGCATAGCCAGGTCAAATAAGAGCAAAACTTGCAATTTAATGGCTCCTGTGACTGGAAGGACCATGGATATTTTAGTAAGTCTTGATTGTGTCATGAGGCCCATCTTTCTCTACCTCTTGGCTCTGGCCGCCTCCCGGTTGGTGGCTATTTTGTCTATGTAGGCAAGACAGTTGCCAGCACAGACCTAAAGAGACATGAATAACTTGGGTGGCTTAAATAATTTGGAATTAGTCTGAGAAGTCTTATGACCTCTCTGAACCTTGGTTTCTTTATCTGTAAAATGGGACAAAATACCTCAAACACAGAGTGTCATGTGAATATTTAGTGAGCTGATGAAAGGTGTGTACCTCCATGGTTAAGAACATGGACTTTGGAGTCACACCTGTTTCCATCACTTAGTAAGTTCCTTGTGTAAGAGGATACTTATGATACTTGATTATAGATTGTCTGAGATTTAAGATGATAGAGTGTCGGGAAAACCTCTAGTAGGGTGTCTGGCACATAGAGCTGCTCAATAAATGGCAGCTACTAATTGAGCAGAGCTTTGAAAAGTGGCCACTAATAGTTTGAATGTAAGGGTCACCTCAGGCATGGGAAATACACGGAAAGGACATGGGCAGTGATCATGAAGGGGCACTTTGGGGCTGGGACATGAGGTAAGCTTGGGTAGCACCAGGGGTTCTCTGTCTTACTCTTATTCCTTATGTCAGAACTGTGATAAAAATACAAACACCAAGAAAGAGTCTGGAAAATAATCTGCCAGTCAGGAAGGAGGGCAGCGCCTGGGAGGGGAGCTCTGGCTCCATCAGTGATGCCATGTGTTTGGAAGTGTTGTTTTTGCAGAATTACAGCCCCTAGCTTAGCGCTCGTTCAACTGACTTGAATTGCCTCTAAAGTCAGAGACAGTGTTTCTTAATACTTCCGAGGGTGGCAATCCTTTTATGAGGTGGATTCTGTGAGAAAGTCATGGTTCCTCCCTGATCACCCCTCCCGGCAATCCTGGGGGGAGTTTACAGATGAGGAGACCGATGCTCAGTGGGTTTAAGCAATAAATAAGATGGGGATAAAACTTATAAAACAACAGTAAGTTATACCACTTAAAAAGCAGTTTTGTGATTTTATATTTTACATATGGAATGTACTAACTCAACAAATTATAGAGTACTTGTTAGAACCTAGGCATGTACTAGAGTCACAAAGAAGACTAACTATTGCTCTTTAGGGAAACCCACGGTCTGATGAGGAGAGACCAGAAGATCAATCAACATAATGCGGCAAGACGAGACATGTGGAGCTTGTTCTGACTCTGTGAGCCGCCACTGGAATGGGAATGAGTGAGGGTGGACAGGAGTGGTGTCTGGGAGGGTTTTAAAGTAGAAGTGATGTCTCAGCAGGAAGTTGAAGGATGTGTATGGATTTACAAGATTAAACAGGTGTGTGTGCCAAGGTCTGGAGGACATGGGTGTCAGCAGAATGTTCTGAGGAATAAGATGAAATAGATGAAGTCTAGAAGCACTCAATTTCTAATGTTTACCTAGGGTTGGAATCTGAAGACTACTAAAGTGTCCAGTCTTTTTTTTTTTAAGTTGGGGTCTTGCTATGTTGCCCAGGCTGGAGTGCGATGGCTGTTCACTGGCACCATCATAGATCACTCAAACTCCTAGACTCAAGCAATCTTTTCACCTCAGCTTTCTGAGGAGCTGGTATTACGTGTATGAGTCACCGCACCAGACTAAGATGTCCAGTCTTAACAGTCAGCAAATAAAAGGCAGCTGAGAGAAAGTCGTGGTTTCTGCTTGATCACCCCTTCCAGTGATCTTGTGAGGATTTCTACAGATAAGGAAACTGATGCTCATTGGGTTTAAGTAATTTCTCTAAAGTTACTGCCAGAAAGAGGCAGAACTAGTCTTTCAACTGGAGTCTGCCTGACTCCAAAGGCATGACACACAATGAATATAATCTCATCTTTATCTGATACTCGGGATTTGGTCTCACCTCAGGACCACCGCTCCGAACATGAGATTGTCCTGTGCAGTTTGGTAGCAAGAGATGTAGCAGCAGATGCAGAAGTCTGAGCGTGGGCTGGCCACATGGGCTGGCCACAGGCAGTGTCAACACCAGTGGTTCTCTGACTTCAGATTGCCTGAGGTCCTCTGAGGGACTGGCAAGAGTTCAGATTCCTGGGTCCCACTTTAGAGGGTCTGTCTTGTTATGAAGCACCTAGGGTGACTCAGATGCAGGTGACACGTGGTTCACACTTTGATTAACATCACCTTTGATGGATTTCTTGTATACATTTGGTTTTTTCTCCCTCCTTCCCTTCTTCCCTTCCTTTTCCTCCCTCCTTCCCTTTTTCCTTTTCTCTCTTCCTTCCTTCTTTTTTTCTTTCTTGGTGTTTTGCTTATTCTCAGATTGTAGTGTTGGGAAAAGCCTACACAACTGAGGTTTCTGTCAGCTGGGTTCCTATGACCTGAGGATATCACTTACAAGCACACTTTTCCCTCTCTTTCTGTGTGTGTGTGTTTCCCGTCTCTCCAACAGAAGACTGCATTCCTTGCAAGCAGGGTTTATGGATTCTGTGTGCCTTTCACAGACACTTCCACAGTCATACTCCTAAGGTTAAACGTACCTTTTGATTACTTTGCGGTTGGGCATTATGAACATGTAGCTTGGCCGAGGCAGGTGGGCTCAGTTACTTGCCTTGGCATTCCTTGCTGTCTCTATGGACTCCCTATGAGCCTCCTCTGCACAGCCTCTGCAGAGGCTCTTCTCCCTTCACGCCATCCTGGAGGGTCCTCAATGGGTAATCCGTAGACCCAGGCTTGGCGATTCTTATCCAGTCCCAACTCTCAGCGTTCTCACAGCCTGTGGTGAAACCTTGCCCTTGGGAGGCCCTGGGGACTGTGCTCTCCTTCACGCTCACCTGGTTGGTGCTTTTCTCATCTCACATTTCTAAAAAAGGAAATCCCTTTTTGGCTCCAGCTCTCCGTGTTGCGGCTAGCTTTCTATCTGGGCAGAGCCATGTGGATGATCCGACCTTGTCCCAGTTAGGCGGTGTTCTTGTTCCCCCTGGGCCTCTGGTGACAGGAGCCCATCCTCCTCACAGACTGACTTCCTTGTACAACATCACGCTAATGGGGGATTCCGTTCTGTCTCTCTTCCTTGGCCTGAATACCCAGTGTCTGAAGTCAGGCTTTGTGGGTTTGAATCCTGCTTGCTGACTCTGAACTGGGTTACATTTTCAGAGCCCTTCAAGTCTCCATTCTCTCACTGGTGAAATGAGGATCCTAAGATAGTTAAAAGGTTGAAAGGAAAGGATGGTTGAAATGAGAGTACCTGGTGAACAGAAAATGGCTACTGTAGTGATTATTACTGGGTGATTGTTTTTCTTCTTCCTCCACTACTCCAATTCAGATTCCATGGGTCCCAAGGGCCCAACTACATTCACAAAACTTTTCCTGTCCACTCAAGCCAGCAGAAAACTGTTATAAATCCTCATGCTCATTCATGTCTGCCATTTGTACTTGATTATTTTCTTAGTATTTAATATTGTGTTGCTACTGTGCTAGGCACTAATTGGTTTTGTTCTTGGTCCCTGATGTAGATCAAAGTCCTTGAATACTGAAAATAAAGACTATCTTTTTCTTTTAGCCTCTCCACTACCAGTTTTGTTATTGGCATTAGCCCTTCTTTCAGGTGTCATGATTGAGGACATACAAATCAATACGCTCAACATAAACTCATTTGGGATAAACGGAGATCAGTTGGCAGCATCTACACTGCAAATGACAACATCCTGTTGTCTGACATTCAGCTGTCTTTCTACGGCTGCTGCTCTTACGGGATGGGGGAGGAAGTCCTTGTCTAGGCAGTCATGCATTTTAGGCTTTGAGTGAGTCACTGGTGGAAGACACCGTCTCCTTCTAATGCTGGTGATTCTCAGCCCTGAGAGTTGGCTGGGAGCCTAAAAAAATTACTGATAACCAGGCCACATTCTGGGTCAGTTAAACCCGAATCTCTGTGGGTGATTTGGATTTACCAAAAAATACTAAACCTGCTATAGAATTCTTAAAAAGCTTACCAGGTGGTTTAATTATGCAACTAAGGCTGAGAACCTTCTACTGTTCTGAAGTCAGCTTCTCCAGTCTTCCCGTCTGATGAATGGGCTTTAGTTTGAATTTCCTGCATTCAGCCTGTTTTTCTGGGGGATATTGGCTGCAATTAGCTTGTAGGAAATAGACTGGAGTGCGGTGGCACGATCACAGCTAACTGAGAACCTCTTAGGCTCAGGAGATCCTTCCGCCTCAGCCTCCTGAGTAGCTGGGACTACAGGCATGCACCAGCACACCCACCTAATTTTTTGATTTTTGTAGAGACAGGTCTTGCTACATTGCCTGGGCTAGCCTCAAACTCCTGGGCTCAAGAAATCCTTTCACCTTGGCCTCCCAAAAATGCTAGGGTCACAGGAGTGAGCTACCATACCCAGCTGCAAATAGCTTTTAAGAGCGCATGGATGTCTAAAGAGTCCAAGCCATGCCATAAAAGAGACAGTTTATTATGGCAGGATGCCTTGCAGCCTTGGTCCGACACTTGGCATACCTAGGAATAGAAGTTTCCTTGCCCTGGGTCACTGGTACCATAGCAGAGGACTGACAGAACTCCCCAATGATCTAAAGTATTTATAACTCGTACAGTATTTCTGCAAGGTGAGCTTTGCTGCAGAAGCCTGAACTGGGGCTGCCAAGTCACCAGGCGGAGGAGTATAGCACAGCTGCTATAGGCTGCTGGGGAAATAGTTCTTAGCATGGAGAGAGAGGGATTCAGTGTCCTTCCCAGAGAACAGAAAGGAGACAGGCTGGGGAGGAGACTTACTCAGGTGACCTCTTTAGCCTTGCTTGTGATATTCTGCAGAGGAATCAATTAAAAAAAATAACAGATTTATAGGGGTATAATTTGCATATCATAAACTTCACCAGTTTTAAAAAAGTGTTCAATTCAGTGAGTTTTAGTAAATTTACAGAGCTATGTAACCACTACCACAATCCAGTTTAAGAATATTTCTGTCAACCCAAGAAGATCTTTTTACATATTTGCAGTCAGTTCCTGCTTCCAGTCCCGGATCCAGGCAACCAGGCATCTGCATTCTGTTTCTATAGTTTTGCCTTTTCGAATATTTCATATAAATGAAGTAATATAATATGGTCTTTTGTGTCTGGCTTTTTAAATACTTGTGAGGTCCATCCATGCAGCGTGTATCAGTATTTTGTTCCCTTTTGTTGTTGTTATTGGATTGTCCATTGTGTGACTACGCCACATTTTGTTTATTCATTCATCAGGTGATGGGCATTTAAATTGTTCCCACTTTTGGGCTGTTATGACTAATGCTGCCTTGAACATTGTGTACGGGTTTTTGTGTGGACATATAGTGTCATTTCTCTTGGGTAAGTAGCTGGGGTGGACTCACTGGGTTGTATGGTAACTTATGTTTAACTTTTTAAGAACCTGCCAAATTATTTTCTGAAGTGGCTATACCATTTTAATATTCCCCCCAATAGTGCATGGAGTTTCCAGTTTCTCCACATCCTCACCAACTCTTGTAATTGTTTTTAAGTTTTTTTATTCCGTGTCTGTGAAGTAGTGTTTCGTGGTCTTAATTTTCATTTCCCTCATGATGAATAATGTTGAACATCTTTTCATGTGCTTATGTATAATTGACCCATCTACTTCGGCTAAATGTCTTTTCGAATCTTTTGCCCATTTTCAAATTGGTTTGTTTGTCTTACTATTTAGTTGTAAAACTTCTTTACATATTCTGGTTAAGTTCTTGACATATTCTGGATAAGTACTTATTAGATATATGATTTGCAAACACGCCTGTCTTCGCTTTTTTGAAAGTTTTATATTATGTGAATTTTACTTCTTTTTAAATTTTTAAAAAATTTTAAATATGTGCAGTTCGCAGCGCGTTCGGTGGTCCTGCAGCTCTGTCTCTTGCTTCAACGGTGTTTGGACGGAACAGACCCGGGGACTCGTCTCTTCCAGCCTCCCACTGCCCTCCGACCTCCTCTCCACTTGCAACCTCCGAGACCACCTTCTCGGCCACCTCCTGTTTCTGGGACCAGCGACCACCATTTTTGCGGTTAGCTCCTTCTCGCCGACCATGAGCTCCCGGGTTCGCCAGAATGAGTCCACCGAGGTGGAGGCAGCCGTCAAGCGCATGGTCAATTTGCATCAGCGGGCTTCTTACACCTACCTCTCTCTAGGCTTCTATTTCGCCCGCGACGCTGTCGCTCTGGAAGGCGTGGGTCACTTCTTCCGCGAGGTGGCGGAGGAGAAGCGCGGGCGTCTCTTGAGGATGCAAAACCAGCGTGGCGGCCGCGCCCTCTTCCAGGATATCCAGAAGCCCTCTCAAGACGAGTGGGGTAAAACCCTGGATGCCATGGAAGCCGCCATGACCTTGGAGAAGAGCCTGAACCAAGCCCTTTTGAGCCTTCCTGCCCTGGGATCCACAGACCCCCATCTCTGTGACTTCTGGAGAACCCCTTCCTAGATGAGCAGCGAAATTCATCAAGAAGATGGGCGACCACATGACCATCCTTTGCAGGCTGGCGGGGCCCGAGCCTGGGCTGGGCCAGTCTCTCTTCGAAGGGCTCACCCTCAAGCACGACTAGGAGCCCAGCGGGCTCTGGCGGGCGCCTCTCAAAGTATCAGGGCTTCTGCCTGAGCCTCCCCCTCCAGCCACGAGGCAGCTTTGTAACCACCCTGGAGCCCTCTCCGAAGCCCTGGACCAAATAAGAAAAAAGCTTGTTGCAGTAGCAGGAAAAAACAAAAAAACAAAAAAAGGAGTACAATTCAGGGTTAGGTACACAAATGTTCATTTTGCAGAGACCCTTGTTGATGAGGTGGTCTTCACTTTCTTAATGGTGTCTTTTGAAGCTCAAAAGTATTTAGTTTTGATGAAGTTCCTCTTATTAATTTTTTCCGTATTGAATCATGTCTTTCATGCCACAACTAAGAAATATTTACCTACCCAAAGTCAAGAAGATTTTCTTCTAGATTTTAGATTTTCTGCTAAAACTTGTATTGTTTTAGCGCTTACATTTAGGTATATGATTGACTGAGTTAATTTTCTTTATGGTATGAGCAGGGATCTATACTAATCTTTTTGTATGTGGCTGTCTAATTGTTCCAATATCATTTTTTGAAAAGATTATCCTTTCCCCTTTAAATTGCCTTGGTGCCTTTGTTGAAAACCAGTTGATCATAAATACAAGAGATTATTTCTGGACTTTCCATCTTGTTCCAGTGATTTATGTTTATCTTTCTGGTCAGTACCACACTGTCTTGATTACTGTAGCTTTATGATAAGTTTTGCAATTAGGAAGTCCTCAAACTTTTTTTATCTTCAAACATTTTTGACTACTCTGGGTCCTTTGCATTTCCGTGTAAATATTATAATCAGCTTTTCAATATCTATAAAAAGCCTGTTGTAATTTTTGTGTGTGTGCGCCTGCACGTGTGTGCACGTGGGCATGCTCTTGCATGTGTGTGCATGTGCATGCGTGTCTGTGCATGTGCCTGCATGTGTGTGCATGTGCATGTGTGTATGTGTGTTGTTGTTGTTGTTGAACCTATAATCAATCTGAGGGAACTATTGCCATCTCAACAATATTGAGCTTTCCAGTCTATGAATATGAAATGTTTCTCCATTAACTTAGTTTTCTTTAATATCACTGAGTGATGATTTGTCATTTTCGGTGTACAAGTCTTACAATCGATACCTTTTTGAGAGTTTGTGTGGTCCTGCCAGGGAGACTTTTTTTCTATCTCAGAGGTGTCGTGGGAAACAATGGAGAGAGATACACAGCTGAGCAGCTGAGAGCAGGCAGCAGCATGCCAAGTGAGAAAGACACTGAGGGAGGGTGGTCGGGAGGATCAGCTCAGAGCTGTGCAAGCCTTGTAACCCCTTGGTTTGCTAAAATGAGTGTGATGTAATTTATTTTGCCTCAAGGTTGTGAAGATTAGACTAAGAAAAATGTTGGTATATATTGGGTGCTTGATCTTTTGGTGTCTGTGATTATGATTACACAGCCTGGCCACGGAGTCTCTGCAGCTCAAGGCAGAAGGAAGAGTCCACAGGGAAGAAGTGAATGTTTCATCTCATTTGATTTCCAAACAACTCACTGAGTTAGCAGTTATCATTCACATTTTACACCTAGAAAGCTGATGTTCAGAGGAATAGAGTCAAGTTTTGGGGGTCAGAGGGCTGGTGAGAGCCAGAATAGGATTCATTTATTTATTTTTAAATTAATTTTCTTTGAGTCAGGGTCTCATTTTGTTGTGCAGGCTGGAGTGCAGCAGCACCATACTCCACCTCCTGGGATCAGGCCATCTTTCCACCTCAATTTCCTGAATACCTGGGACTACAGATGTGCGCCATCATACCTGGCTAATTAAAAAAAATTTTTTTTTTGTAGAGACAAAGTCTTGCTGTGTTACCTAGGCTGGTCTCACACTCCTGGGCTCAAGCAATCCTCCCGCCTCAGCTTCCCAAAGTGTTGGGATTACAGGTGTGAGCCACCACTCCTGGCCAGAGAAGGATTTAAACCCATACTTGTCTGCCTTCAAAGCTTTTGCTTTCCCATTATTCCCATCACACCTGCTCACCCCCCCAGCTCTCACTTGGGATCTGCAAGGCTGCCATACATTCCAAGCGAGGCACATCATTCCTGAATGGACAAATGGTCACTGGTAAGTGATGTTTCCTGCTTGTCTTTGTTACTTAACACACTGAAGGTTCAACTTTGCCACAAGATTCAGGAAGGCAGCTATGATTCCCATTACCAGGGGCTAGATGAGAAAACCACACTGAATTCATGAGGGTGAGCTCAGTGAGCTCTAACAAAAAGTAACCTGGTCATGGACATTGTGATAAAATGCAACCTTTATTTCCAGTCTTTAGTATGACCTGACTTGAGCACCAAATTTTATTGCATTTCAAGTTTTTTTTTTTTTTTTTTTGAGTTGGAGTCTCAGTCTGTCATGCTCACAGCTACCACAGCCTTGACTTGCTGAGCTCAGGAGATCTTTCAGCCTCAGTCTTCCAAGTAGCTGAAATCATAGGCATGCACCACTACACCTGGCTAACACATTTCAAGTCTTAAGGCTTCCATTTTCTCAGCTGTGATAAAGTCTGTGAGAGGAAGGTGGAGCTCGTGGCTGTGTGAGCCATCAGATCCAGAGCCACAAATCTCTGCTAGTTGGTCTGGGCTTGCTCAACAGCTGCACAACTACCAGTGTATGTTGCTACAGTCTAGAACTGAGCCTGCCTTGGTGGTTCACCAGTATTTTCCTTGCTTCCCATGTGGAAGACCTGGGTTTGATTTTAGGAAATTCTTTATTGTAGCAATATGGATAGGACATGGGATTTGGAATCAGCTAGATGAATTGTTCCATTTCCATTATTTGCTAGTTTTTTGATCCTGGGAAATGTATTTAACTTATTCGAGCCTCAGCTTGCTCATATAATGGTGAAAATCATTGTCATGATGATTAAAATAAGATAAAATTTGTAAATCACTTGTTAGTGCCAGGTATATACAGTAAGTCCCCTACATACGAACCTTTAAGTTACAAACTTTAAAGACACACAACTGCGTTTTAAATGTATTATTTCCACCAGGTGTTAGCATAGCCTGTTAAATACATATAGTATTATATAGCCTATTGTGTCAGTTAGGTACCTAGGTGGACTTTGTTGGATTTAAAACAAACTGGACTTACAAATGCCTTCTTGGAACAGAACTCGTCTATATGTTGGGGACTTCCTATAACATGTTCTAGGCAAATAGTGTCTTTTCTGCTTTCTACTGGAGTTTGAAATAACTAGATTTAGCTTTAAAGAAATCTCACTGTGGACTATTGTATTGATCAGCTTTTGCCACAATAACAACCCTCAAAGCTCAGCAGTTAAGAATCACATTCGTTTACTTCTTGCTCATGTCACATGAGGGCTGAGTTGACTGTGACTCTGCTGGGTTTGGTTCTCCTCTTTGTATCTGTTCACTCTAGGATCCTTGTTGAAGAAGCATGCTGTTCTCATGGTGGAGGGGAGAAACTCAAGAGGAACAAAGCCAATCCAGATGAACAGATGTAAAGTTTCTGCTTGGCCGTGGTGTGTATCAGATTTGCTCGCATCCCATTGTCATATGGCCAAGCCCAAGGTCAGCGGGTGGGGAGTATACTTTGCCTAAGGAAAGCATGGCAGGAGATTTGTAAATGAATACTGTAATCTACCTTAATAAGTAAGAATTTTAATCGAGGCAGTTCTTGGTAATCCCAGTATTAATCATTGTATACATGGAATAGTTGAGCCTTTTCGTTTTTATCTTTCCCTCTGGCTATAGCAACGTGTCTACTTTTTCTTATTTAAAGCAGAGCTGATGAAAGATAATTTCTCAGTGTCTGAGAAAAGATTTCCTGTTTTTCTTCCAGCTTCTTGTTCTCAGCCACTTGTGATTCATTCTCCTTCACTCATCTAAATATTGGCATCCTGAAGGTATTCCTAGCTCCTTTCTCTTCTTCTTCTATACTCTTTTTTACAGGTGATCTCATCCATCACTGTGACTTCAGCTACATACTCTCTGATGACTGTTATTTCAACGTTTTCAGCTGAGCTGCCTCCGAGTCCCAGACCCATACAGCCAGATTTTATTTAAGATCAAAAGAATATTTAAGATCAAAAGGAAATGGAGGTCATATAGCTTGAAACTTGGTAGAATTTGATGCCCAAGTTAAGTGACACTAAAGATTGGAAACAAAGGTTGCATTTCACCTCAATATTCATTACCTGGTGACTTTTTGTAATAGGTCAGTGTGTTCACCACTCATGAATTCAGCATGGTTTCCCGATCTAATCCTTGGTAGTGGGAGTCCTAAGTGCCTTCCTGAGTCTTGTGGCAAAGTTAGATCCTTCATCAAGGCTCCTATGGCTCATGTGGAAAGGTCTCACTTTGTTCATAATATTTATCATTAAGTAAATGTCTTTTTGCTTGTTTGTTGCATGCCTGCTTTACATGTCTGCTGTGATTTCCACATGAAACCCAATATAGTCAAACCCAACTCTGGTCATTCTAAGTGTGCCCTGAGGGACCAGACCATCCGTCCAGCTATACACATCGGACACTTGGGATTCCTCCTTGGTGCTTCCTTCTGCCCTTGCTCTCTTACCCAACCATCTACAGATTCTCTTCCCTCTACCTCCTTGGGGCTTCTCTGATCAGCCTCTTCTCTCCATCCCTACTGCTGTCACCAGACTATGATCCTCTTTCATCTGGACTCTTGCAATATCACCAGTTGTCTCCCTATTTCTTTCCTTTTCCCCTTCTAATCGGTTTTTTGCACCACAGCTATGGTCAGTCTTTTTTTTTTTTTTTTTTTTTTGAGTCGGGGCTCTCACTCTGTTGTATAGGCTGGAGCGTAGTGGCATAATCATGGCCCACTGCAGCCTTGACCTCGTGGGCTCAGGCAGTCTTTCTGCCTCAACCTCCTCAGCAGCTGTGAATACAAGTGCATACCACCATACTCGGCAAATTTTTTGATTTTTTTTGGTAGAGATGATGTCTTGCTATGTTGTCCAGGTTGGTCTCAAACCCCTGGGCTCAAGCGATCC